CCTAGCAGCCCCTGCCCCAGTGTTTCAGGGCACTCTGTTGGGAACATGTGAATGCCTCTGCATGTGCTGCATTTGGAAGGGAATGCTCTCTCTCCGCACCCCACCCACTGGCTGCTTCCTCGGTGCCCAGTGAGGAGGTGATGTGCTCTGGGACAGCCTCCTCCCCACCCTGGTGGTAGCTGCCAGGGCAAGTGTCTGTGTCTCTGTCCTCAGCTCCACTCCTTCCCTAGCAAAGTAGGCAGCTCGTCAGTGGGTGAGTAGTTGACTTCAGACAGAAGCCCAGCTTTCAGGAGCCTTTGCTGGTGGGTGAGATAGGGCACGTCTACATAGAAAGGAGCCAAAATGTAAAGTAGTCAGTATGTGGCTGGCCACTGGGTGGTGTCCGAATATCCTGGGCGTTTAGGGGGCCACTTGGATTGGGTGAGGTACTGGCTCAGGAAGAATGCAGCATCCCTGGTGGAGGGAAGCAGCTGCATTTCTCACCTGGTCCTGACTGCCTGGTGCAGAGGCTGAGAACCGTGAGGCTGCAGTGGGAACACCGGGCCAGATAGCCCTGTGTGCTACCATCGTTAGCAAGGGCCATGGCCACACAAGCACACCAGTATCTGCCGGCCCTGGTCCAGCTAAAGCAGAGAAGTGGGTGACTTCAGCAGTTAAGTGAAGCACAAGCTGTGAAAACTAAAAATCATTTGAGGTTTTGAACTGTAAGTGTTAGATTATGAAAACAGTGCTTTGAATAAAAATATTGCTCTAAATGTAAATTTTTTAAAAATCTGTTTGTTTTTAGGAGCATGGCCTGTTCTTATAGATGATTTCGTAGAATATGCACGGCCCGTGGTCACAGGTGGCAAACACAGCCCTTTCTAGGCAGAAAATGAACATGGATTAGGATTGTAAGATGAACTGCCACCTGCAAGGAGACATTTTGGTCAGTTTCTGTGCACATATGTCACTGATTTCAGAAGCCGTGGAACTGGAACGAGCATCTCACTCTGCCTGAAGGAACGGTGGCTGAGCCTGGACTCCGTAGGAGACCCTCAGGAAAGAGCTGCTGTGGAATGTCCGCAGACGGATCGCATCGCTGCTGCTTTAGGAGATTTCTGCATGATTTTTATATTTATGAAAAAGCACCTAGAGCCTGTTAGCAGGACTGCAGAGCATGCTGATAATTCATGATTTCAGGTGAACACCAGCAGTTACCACACTCCGCTGAATTATATTGTAATTACACTTAAAAAAAGTACTTATGTCCTTGGTAGGATGTTATATTTTTATATAGTCAAAGCTAAAGTGTGTGCCCAGAAGGAAATGATCTTGTGGATTCTAACATTTTTTTAAACTTGGTGCCAGGAATTCAAGATTTATATTTTTTGAATTATCGAATATCTAGATTTATCAGATCTATTTTTGTTTTAATTTTCTCTAGATGTTCATCTGAAAATCATTTTATAGTTTTTAATAGCCATTAGTTTCCAAAGCAATGGCACATGTATGTGATAATTCCAGGAAGTTTTATTTTAAACAGCTTGCAAGTCAGCAGGTCTATTTTACTTCTAATAATGTCATTTGAACTTCCTAAGAAGTTTCGTAAACTATGTTTTTTTAAAAAAAATGTATTTTATTACACTTTAAAGGACGTTTTCCATGAAGAATATTTCTTTTATGAATGATGAATTATAGATTTAAAAATCAAGTGAGTCGGTTCCTTTCACATATCTGTAATCTCCATAATGTCCACTCTCCAGCCCTTCATATGGTTGTACACATTTGGGAGCTAACATACACTTTATTGTCCAAAAAACCCAAAAACCAAGCCAGAAACCTTCATCTCATTTGTGAGCTGCAGTCTGTCTTTGCCTCACGTTGCCCGCCACTTTTCCTGGTGTTTGCCTTGTCAAAGAGAACCATCCCGCGGCACAGGGATATGTGGGGGTTCTGTGTGCAGGTTTGAAAAATCACGGTGTGGACCCTACCTCATATTTGAGAAGATCTTCCTGCCACGCGTGTGCCCGCTGCCCTGCCCGCAGCCTGGTTTAGGAGACAAGTGAATTGGGGTTATTTCCGCACAGGAAATTCACTCAGATTTCCTGTAAACAGAAAGTGTGCCTAAAATGTGTCATTTTGATTTGACTTCCAAAAGTGTGATTCACTGTGTTTTAGGAAGTGCCCATGTGCAACACAAGGTTTGCGTATACTTACTCTATGTGAACTATTTATACTTTTGAATAGAAGTCTTTCAAAGAGGGCAGCAGGCAGTGGAGGATTGGAAAGGGGGCTGAGGCCTGGAGACCACAGGCTAAGCTGGGGTCACCGGCCCATGACTAGGTGCAGGGCCCAGGCAAGTCACTTCACCTCTCCCAGGCTGCCACTTCCATGTCTATAAAAGGAAAAGCAAGGCCAGCTCTATCTGTAAGTCTGTGATTCTAAGAGAGCATTTATTTTATATTATGAAAGCTAGCTTTAATAAAAACCTCAGCAAATATAAAGCATCCTTCAGGCTTCATGCATTCTTGACATGTAAGTGTTCTGCTCAGAGACTTATTCTTAAGGTTTAAAGTTACATGAGGAAAAAATGTTCTATGGGCTCAGTAGATATCAAAACATTAGTAATGGGACTAAGGGTCTTCAAAAAACTGTGGGTTTCTTTTTCTCCTATGATATACATTTAAGTCATGCATGCCACAAAACTGCTAAGGACTTTGGAAACATTAAAATAAATTATTTTCTCTGGTGTGGTGTACTTTTAATTCTACCCTCGGTTATTCCAGTACTCACCACTAGATGTCAGCCTCTTCATCAGTCATGAGTGGCCACCTACAGGAAAGCCACCTCCATAGCCCAGGGACAGGGACATTCCCCCCTGTGCCCAGCCTGCCACCCTAGTTAAGTGGTCATGTCCCAACATTGGCAGCTGCAGTCATTTAGGTTTTTTTAAGTGTCACATCGTGGCACTTAATATGGTTTTCATGTGGAAAATTACAGATCTCATAATACACAGCCCTTGAGTTGATAGGAATTATATAACCAGGATACACTGAAATGCAAGCTATAGATATATTGAAAAGACACAAATTAACCAAGCACAATAGGTTTAATAAGTATAATGAATGCCTTCATACAGTGCCTGCCAAGAATTTTTGGAATAGATGTCGTCTCTTTTTTTGTCCTGGTGGCACGATGCAGGCCATTGTGTTATTTTAACTCAGTAAAAGTTTAAGCGTCATGTGCCTATCGCGGACTTCAGGCTCCTTGGAGGCAGAGCCGGTTTTTTCCGTTAGTTGCTGCATCCACACAGTCAGGGCTCAGTAAACGTTGCACGAACCCCTCAGTGAACTCATCTCACCTCTTCCTGTTTGCTGACACAGGCCACATAGTATGGAGTTGCTTCTGGCATCTGCAATAAAGGTTTCCACTGCCTCAGAATTAGCAAGTGAATCTCACCCTAGACTATACCTCTGCCCTCCACGATACATGTGCCTGCCCAATGGTGCTGTTCTACCTACAGTGGGAGTTGTCTAAAAAAGGACTGCTGTCGTCTGTCTGGTCCTGGTGGATAAGGAATCTGCATACCCAGAAATCCAAGGTTGTCTGTACTGGCTTTTTGTTGTTGTTGTTAAAATATATTTTATTGATTTTTTACAGCGAGGAAGGGGGAGGGATAGAGTTAGAAACATCGATGAGAGAGAAACGTCAATCAGCTGCCTCCTGCACACCCCCCACTGGGGATGTGCCTGCAGCCAAGGCACATGCCCTCGACCAGAATCGAACCTGGGACCCTTCAGTCCGCAGGCTGACGCTCTATTCACTGAGCCAAACAGGTGAAGTCCTGGCTTTTAAAGGACTATTTGCTTCAGGATCTCTCAGAACTGTGCTAGCTGGAATCATGTTCCAGAACCTCATTTTTAACAAGGGCCGTTACAGTGCTATGTGTTCATTTAAGTGCATCCTAGCATCCTCTTATTATTGAAAGAAATTCCATTTTTAGCAGATGTGTTTCTGAAGCCCAGGTGTGATGCCCTCCCCCTTCTGGCATGATGTGCACCCAGGTCCTGCGGACAAGGGGGAAGCACGGTCCCAGTGGGGGCAGTCACTCGAGGGCCTGGGACAGTGAGATGACTGCTTCCTAACGCCTTGTTTCAACTCAAGATACCTGGTTTAGACATCCCATCTACCTCCCCCCCCTCCTCTCCCCGCCAGCCTCTTCATCTCTTTGAATGTTCTTGTGAACGGACAGAGTGTTTATTTAAGCACCCGGTGCTGATGGATGGCACCATCACAGATGCCACGCCAAAGCTCTGCTCTGTGCTCACATGCATTGCCACCTGAAGCCTGGGTATTTGGAGCCTTTTGTTGAACATTGAATTGTGAGAACACTTCGTAATCTTTCCCCCTGGGGCCAGGTATGCTTTGTTCTTTACCCTCTGCATTTTTTCGGTGTTCTATCAGAAACACGTTTTATAATACAAAAAGTTTTCCCCAAAATGGAACCATGATGGATGAATCTCACCATCATGCTAAGTAAAAGAAACCAGACACAAAAGGCTACATATGCATAACTCTTAAAAATTCTGGAAAAAGCAAAACTATAGAGACAGAAAGCAGGAAAGTGGTTGCCTGGGGGTGTGATGGGGGGAACGGAGCAGATGGGCAACAGGGACTTGGGGGTGACAGAAGTGTTCTAAAACAGGTCTGTGATGTGACGCACAGCAGTGTCCCTTTGCACAAGCTCATCAGACTGTGCTCGGGACATGAGAGAATTTCCCGGTGTGTAAATTACACTTTAAAGCATTTAGAAATGAGTGCATTTCTCCAAGGATGCTGTGCAAAGACTCACACTGGAAAGCCATTGCGTTTGGGAGAGCGTCGGGAGTTGCCCTGGACGCTGCCTAGATGCTCTGGGAAAGCCGCAGGCTCCTCTGTGGAAGAGCTTGTGTCTGTCCAGACGCTGAAGGAAGCTGACACTTCCACGTGGCTCTTCAGAAGGCGCTGTGAGCTGCGGGGTCCAGGAAGGTTTTCTCATTGGTGCCACCTGCAGACAGGAAAGCAGTGCTTGGCCATTTGAGTAGGCTCTTGACAGTGACACAATGACCAGAACGGAGGTCAGCGGGGTGGACTGAGGGCTGCTGCTGCCGCGAAGCAACAGAGGCTGGACGTGCTCAGCAGCTGGGCGGACAGAGGAGCTGCTCCGCAATGGAGAAATTTCAGGCTGCGATGCTGCTGGGCAGTGTTGGGGACGCTCTCGGTTACAGAAACGCCCGCAAGGAGAACAGTGCTTCAGGCACAAAGATCCAGGAGGACCTGCAAAAACTCGGGGGGCTGGACCACCTGGTGCTCTCACCAGAGAAGTGGCCTGTGAGTGACAACACCATCATGCACCTGGCGACGGCCAGGGCCCTCACCACAGGTAAGGCTCGGCCCCTGCCCCTCAGTGTGTCCGGTGAACCCGAGCTCTTGTGGTAAGCACTGGGGCTTTGAAGGCGCTGTGGCGATTCAGCTATGGTGTCACCCAGTGCCACTGCTAAAGTGGCCATTTAACATACACCAGCGTCCCTCCGCAAATCGGACGTGCCACAGCTCATGTTTCTCATGCAGTCTTTTTGGATGGCAATATTCTTTCACTCTGCTTATCTGCAGAGTCGGTGTCTTAAATACTTTCATTTGTAAAGTGTTTACTAAGCTGAGCTCTGTCTCTGGAATTAAATTCAATTAAATCTGACTTTGGGGCTGTTCCTGGTGAGGGCTCAACTTTTCACTGCAGATATTAAGCTTTCTTCTGGATTTATTTCAAAAGAATATAAAGTAACATGCCAGTTTTGAAACTTGGACAAATGAAGGTAATATTGTTTGGGGACTACTTCTAAATTCCACTGAAATAGGGTTGAAATGCCAGCTACCAAAATATGACTTAGCTTGGATTGTTGCTTATATATAAGTATGTCCTAAGAAAATGCTATAAAATTGGTTGAATTTGGGGAATGGGGAAACAAAGTTGATTGAAATATTCTTTAAACAGGTTGGTTTAGGATCAACATGTTTTTATATGAATTTCAGATAAACGTATAAATATGTAGCACTATTTTTCTACACATGATTTGCTCTTTGAAACCCTGTGTTATTAGTATGTCGCTGCAAAATTAAAGCCTGAGAGTGACTGTTAAGTCAATGAAATCTCACTTATGAGCTCACCTCACCACTCCATGGGGCTGCTGTGAGCACGCTCGATTTAGTTCTGTGGTCATCGCACAAGAATGCCATCTACTTTGTGACCGGTTCCTAAATAGCTAGGGGCAGAGCTAAAGCACCATAGATATGATAAAGTGTCACCGCGTGTTGAAAATGGTGAGGTGTCTTTCTGAGTCTACACGGCTGTGGCATCCAAATGTTGCCTGCCTGTTTTCAGGAAGGTCCCATGGGCTTGGTGTTTAACAGTGCTCAGTAGCATTCCAGCAGCCATGCCCACCCCCAGGCATGGAGAGCATGGCTTTCAAAACAAAAGCATGGCTTGTTTCAGGTGCACGCAGCCGGTCCATACGCTTACACTTTGCTTCCTTCATTCGTGCCTGACGGATGCTGTATGCGCGCAGTCCACAGTCCACGCGTCCTCTCATGCTTGCCCTCATGGTGTTTGCCCTCATCTCCATGAGCGCTTCAGTAAGGTTTTGTGCGTGGCAGGATCCACAACGTGTCTCTGTCCTGTACAGTACCTGGCACAGATTGGGGCACCTCTGACCATAACCTGCTCTCTGAGGTTAGATGGGGTCAAGTCCTGTTGGCAGAAATAGGACCTAATTTGCCCTCCACGTGAAATGTATGCATTGAAGAGGATTGTGAGTGTTTGGGACATTGCTTTTAAGGAGGAAGATGAGTTCACTCTATGTGATCGCAGCCACCAGGCGTGGGAAGTGGGGAGTTGCTATACATGGCAGCACCCTCTGGCTGGGGGGTCATGAGACAAAATGCGAGAAGTCTGCTGCCTTGAATTGTTCTCCTCCAAAAACCCAAGCAAACATATTTTTTTCAGTTGAAATCCAAGTTGAAATTTCATTTACATTGAGTTTTCAAACAGCTCATTTAAAAAAATTTTTTTTTCTGATACTGAGAAATCCGTTTTTATTTTTTTTTAATTCTTTATTAGTTAAGGTATTACAAATGTGTCCTTATCCCCCCATTAATCCCCATCCTCTCCCCCCGCCACTCATGCTCTCATCCCCCTGTTGTCCGTGTCCATTGGTTAGGCTTATATGCACGCATACAAGTCCTTTGGTTGATCTCTTCCCCTTACCCCCTCTTTCCCCTACTTTCCCTCTGGGGATTGATAGTCTGATCACTGTTTCTCTGTCTTTGGATCTGTCCCTGTTCATCAGTCTATGTTGTTCTCTATAATCCACAAATGAGTGAGATCATGTGGTATTTATCTTTCTCTGACTGGCTTATTTCACTTAGCATAATGCTCTCCAGTTCCATCCATGCTGTTGCAAAAGGCAAGATTAGAAAACTGTGGTACATCTACACAATGTAATACTATGCTGTGGTAAAAAAGAAGGAACTCTTGCCTTGGTAAAAAAAAATTTTTTTATTGATTTCAGAGAGGAAGGGAGAAGGAGTGAGAGAGAGAAACTTCAATGATGAGAGAGAAACATCGATCAGCTGCCTCCTACACGCCCCACACATATGCCCTGACCAGGAATCGAACCATGCCCTCCTGGTTTATAGGTCGATGCTCAACCACTGAGCACACCAGCTGGGCTATTATTACAGTTTTACAGGCGAGGGACCCGATAGACAGGTTAAATAGCTGACACAGTGCTACACATTCGAGTGAGCGTCAGGCCAGGGATTGGAACCCAAGCAACCTGCTCCAACGCCTAAGTTCTTGATAAGCACTGTCCCGACCACCCAAGGTTACTGGACATGCAAATATTTCAAGGACCCCAATGAGCAGTGGCTTTTCAGCATGTTTTCCGAAGAGAGGCAGACTTTCACAAAGTGGAACTGCGTCTTGGCAGACTTAAGTTTCGCTAATAAGTGCCTTAAGCCCATAAGCCATGTAGCGGTGTGGTCTGGGGAGCCACTGCTCTCTATAGAGTCAACAGGATGAGGCAGGTCAGGTGCAGCCTGTGTGATGTCCTCCTTTTGGGTGTGTCTCTACAAGGGTCAGTGTTAAATGAAAGCAGACACTGACCAGATATAGGAAGTAGCTGATACTCCACAAGGTAGGAAGGCAACCCAGGATGCACAGCTTATGAGCAAACAGCTCACTCGACACGCGTTTACCAAAGGCTCCCTTGTGGGCCCGTCACCCAAGGACGGGGGGCTCTGGAGCATGACACTCCCAGCTCTCTACCACTCACTGGTCAGAAACCCGCTTCCCCTCTCTGAGCCTTACTTCCGGACGGCAATACCTTCGTCATAGGTTATGTGAGGATTAAATGGGACGGCTTGGGTTATATGGGAAGGTGACTCATGGCAATTAATTACTGTTGGTATTTTTACAATGTCTTATGCGTCTGAGGGTCAGCAGCTCCAACGGTCGTGGCCAAGCCAAGGAGCCCTGTCACTGTTGGTGCAGGAAGAATGGGGGGGGGGGGGGGGACATTAGCCCACTGGGGACAGCAGCAAGTGCCACCTGTGGGTCCATGGCCCGCAGGGGAACATGGGGCCTGACCCAAGTCAGAGCAGATGAGGCCTGTCCAGGCTCAGCTCCGGATTCCTCTTCCTCCACCAACGTCTCCCTGAGTACCGCATTTTGAAAAGTGGACATTTTTCTTTCAAAGGAACCTGATATTGGCATTGTGACTTGTCTTTATTGTGAGATCAGGTGGGAGGCTTACGGGTGACGTTATAAGCTGGTTTGTCTTTTAGGAGACTGGGCGGGCAAGAGAGAGAAGAAATGAGTTGAGGATCCATGTTTTCACAAAGTGGAGAAACTCAGGGGAGAGAGTCTGAGGCTCTGCAGCTTTGAAAAAAAATCTGTTTCTACTTTAAATTCTAGCCTGAAACCAGCCCAAGGCTTTTACTTGCCATTTTGTTTTTAGGGACTATTTTTCCTTTAAAAAGTATTCCAGAATAAAAGGAATTATTTTGGGGGACTCTGGGAGGGCCAGGCTTATTAACGCTGGACTGAGCTAATCCAGGATTGAGTTAATTACGAACACTGTCTGTAACTGATAGTGCTGGCTCCAGTGGCTCGCACCTCCAGCCAGGGATTAATTTTATTCTAGTGGCGTTGTGACCGGCAGAACTCATTCCTCCCCAACCAAGGTCTGGCCACATCTTCTCTGTCCCCTACTCAAGACTGGGCAATGCCAAGTATCGGAGCTGTGGGCTGGGCCTCCTGGGACTCCCCTTGCTGTTAAGAGATTGGAGAATGGCAACCAAGGACTCAGAGCCACTCTTTCTCCAAAGGGTCACACCTCTAGGGTACGGGGTGCCACCTGCCATGGCCACTGCCAGGCCTGAGGCTTCGTCCTGGGCCAGGGAGTGCTTTGTTTTTGCCAAGTGCACTTCTGATCTTGCTCGCCCTCTGAGCTGGGCCCCTGGCTCTGAGGGGGCCTGACGAAGATCTGGTTGGACCCGGGGAAGGGCCGTGGGTTTTCATGCCAACGACACTTCACTGCCTGCTCTGAGCCCAGGAAGGTTGAGAGGTGGTCTCCCTCCTGCCGCCGCCCCACCCCCACCCCCCTGCCACGCACCAGCCACCAGAGATGGGAAATCCACCCCCAAAGAGAGGAGGGGCAGTAGCTGGCTCCTGATGGCAGCCCACATTGCCTGAAACACAGTTTTAGCACAGGTAAAGTTGTGGGGGCTCTAAAAGATGCATGGGCAGGGGCGCCCCATACCTGCCTGCCCTGCCTGGCATGGCAGCCCCTCCACAAACCCACAGGGCCTGCTCTCCCATGTGACCAACCCACTGGGCTGTGGATTAATTTAGTGGCAGGAATGCTCAGGCTTTGCAATTGAAACCCATTTACCAGCCCTGGTCTTGGGCAAGTCACATAACCTCCCTGTGCCTTATCTGGAAAAAGAACAGAGTGACCCAAGCATGTCAAACTCAAAGGCTAACATGGGCCAAATAAACAAGGTTTAAGTTTATGTGGGCCACAAAAAAAAACAAAAGCTTCAATTTTCATAGAAACGTAGGTTTATTTCAATAGAGACATGCTGAATACAAAGGGTTGAAATAAGTGAGTAATCATCTATACTAATAAAAGGGTAATATGCTAATTAGACCAGATAGATCGGACATCTTCTGGTTGTCTGGTCCTCCTTCTGACAAAGTCACAGTGGTAGGGGCTGAGGCAGAGGTGGTTAGGGGCGATCTGGCCAGCAGGGGAGGGCAGTTAGGGGTGATCAGGCAGGCAGGCAAGTGAGCAGTTAGGAGCCAGCAGTCCCGGATTGCAAGAGGAATGTCCCAGATTGGAGAGGGTGCAGGCCGGGCTGAGGGACCACCCCTGCCCCCCCGCAGGAATTTCGTGCACCAGGCTTCTAGTTAACATAAAATAATAGAACATTAACTTACTAGACACTGAATAACTGCACAAATTAATAAGCGTAACACAAATAAACGTATTTTTCGTGTTCTCCGAAAGTGAAATATTTCCTGTTGCGCACACCAAACAAATCAGTCCAGGACTAATGATGTGGCAATCAGCTGCTAAAATATTTGCTGCTAGTATCAGTGGAGAGAAATGGTGCACCTGTACATAAGGTGCGTAAGGGAAATGAATGCAACATGATTATAGTAATCAGTCATTAGCAAACGTTGTCGTTCATAATGAATAATTATGTGTAACAGGATATTACAAAAATTAATACAGAATTAATTACAAAATTTTTATTAAAATGTTTCCTACATACTGTTATATTGGCTGGGCCGCATGCGGTCCACTGGCCACAGGTGTGACCAATAGGAGCCTGGCAGGGTCCTGGGAGGACTACATGGAATCACTGAAGGTGTCCTGCGGGGCAGATGGCGGGTGGTCTGTGTGCGTTGGCCCCTCTGTCCTCCTGCCCTGTGATCTTCGGGTCTGAGGCCACTCTTGTCCCCAGGACACCTTCACGCAGTGGGGTGCAGTTTGGGACAATGCCTGGGGAGCACTGGCTGCTTCATGGGTGTGAGAAGGAGGGAATTGAAGATGGGAGAGACTCGCTCCCGGTGCGTTAGACGTGGGTCCTTGAAACCCCAAGGTACAGGCAGATGTCGGTCTAGCTTGTCCTCACATGGACAGAGCTGTTAGCGTATGAGCATCTTGGATTTTTCTAGATTCCTGTGTGTAACTGAAGTAATAAATACAACCACAGACTAGGATGTCTGAAATCTGGGTGAACTCTAAAGCGAATTATTTGTCTGCATGTCCAGTTTCTCTGGGTAGCCCGGGTGGTGTGAGAGGGTCACTAAAATCTTCCTCCTCTTCCACCGACTCGCTGCCCTTCTGTTGTCACTGCTGTGTTGGGGTTTACCTGGCAGACTTGTCTCCCACTCTCTCTGACCCTGCCTTCCCCTTCCTCCCCCAGACTACTGGTGCCTGGACGACCTGTACCGGGAGATGGTGAAGCACTACGTGGAAGTGCTCGAGAAGCTTCCAGAACATCGAGCAGATCCCGCTACCATTGACGGCTGCTCGCAGCTGAAGCCGGATAACTATCTCCTTGCCTGGCACACGCCTTTCAACGAGAAGGGTGAGGGAAGGCTTGCTTCCGCCTCTAAAGCCGCATCTAGAGAACCGCCCCGGGCCCTGGCCATCTGTCTGCCCACTAGCCGGCCGCCTGGCCGCTTTGTGCGGGTTGGGAGGGATTTGCCAGGATTTGTAGGGCAGCGTGCCGCCTGGGGAGCCAGCTTGCAGCATGGGCGTCTATTTAGAGGACGCCAGTTTCCCCGGCAGTTTTGCCACCCATCCCTGGTTTATTTTAAGAAATATTTTCCACTGGTTTCCCGTTGTTTGTAAAATTTTTTTGCTAAAATATCAAGGGAAACATACACCACCTGCATAAATGTCTGTCTCTGCAAAGACTTCATGTGTTTATGGGGGATGTATTTAGGTAGCCACAGTCTCTGCCTCCAGGGCCTGGGCTCCTGGGGTTCTGGACCTGCCCCTCTGGGTTTATACTGAAGGTGGGACCTGCCCCTCTGGGTTTACATTGAAGGATGGCATCCAATCAAGTAAAGCCAATTAAAAAGAGAAAAATCAGTACATTAAACTTGATGACACCTCACAGGCGTTAGACTTATCAGACAAGGATATAAAATAGTATGTATTCTATACTTTCAAAAAGTTAGGTAGAAACAAGGAGGTATAATAAAAGACCTAAATTACACTTCTAGAGAAAAACACTACAATGTCTGAATTTAAAAACACATTGGTCGAGATGAACAGTTTAGACATTTCAGAAGAAAAGATGAGTGAGTTTGAGGAAACTATCCAAAATGGGACAGACAGAGAAAAAAGAATCCGAAAATAAGAAAAGGACACCTAGTGAGCCATGGCACAACTTCGGCAGCCTAGCATACCTGAAGCTGGAATCCTCTGCAGAGAGAAGGGGAACAAATGAAAATGATTTGAAGAAATAGGGACCAAATATTTCCAAATTTGATGAAACCGTAAACTCACAGATCCAAGAAACTCAATAAATTCCAAGCAAATACAAAAGGACACGAAGAAAACTGCAACAAGGCGTATAGTGGTCAAATTGCTCAAAACTGATGCCAAAGAGACCAACGCACGTCCTGTGTATAGTCAAGGTGAGGACAGCAGCAGCAACGTAAGAGAGGAGCTAGCCAAGCAACATCACTAAGGTGTGAAAAGAAACAACTTCAACCTAGAATCCTACACCCAGAAAAACTATCTTTCAGACCCAAGCCCTCATGGCCCTTTTCGGGTGAATAAAAGCTGAAGAGGCATCACCAGCAGTCACGCTGGCAGATGCTAATGGAAGTCACTCAGGCAGAAGGAAAGGAACAGCAAATGGGCACAGGGATCCACACAAAGGCATGGGACTGATGGAAACGCTCACCACATGGGTAAACAGTAAGATGTTTTAACTTGTTATTTAAATGTATTTAAAAGAGAATGGACTTTAGCAAGTGATAGCAATGTACTGCAAGGTTTATAAATTATGTATAAGCAAACGTATGGCGCAACAGCACAAAGGCAGGGAGTAAAGAGATGGAGTGCGCAGCGTAAGGTTCTAATAGGAGGCATGAAATGATACAAAATCACGCAAAGGCAGACTGTTCTACGTTAAAAATCTACACCAGCGGTCGCCAACCTTTCGGACCTCACGGACCACCAGTGGTCCATGGACCATCGGTTGGCGACCGCTGATCTAGATTATGAGCCCAAAGCAACCACCAAAATAACAAAATAATAACTAGTAAGCCAACAAAAGAGGTGAAATGGGGAAGCAGAAATTGTGAGGCCCTGCCGTCCCTCGGCTTGCCCAGTCAGTACCCCTGACCTGGAGACCAGGTGAAGAGCTTTCACTCGACTCAAAATTCTTTTCCTTAATAAGAGAAGTCTTTCCCTGTTTGGGTTCGCAGTGAACGGCCTGTACTGCTTAGGCGTGAGCATCATATGGCACATAACCTGCCTCACCAGCACATCAGCCTTGTGGGCAGAGAATGAGGTTTTACCTGCAGCATGAGGGTACATGCAGTCCGCTGCCCTGCCTTGCTTCAGGAGGGACCCACCAGCCCTGGGAGACAGAGCGTGCTACCAATTTGGGCCTTGCTGTGTGTCTTCTCCTTTCTGTTCCAACCCAGGCCCATGTGTTGAGTCCTCTTTGGTGACTCTGAACCCGTTGACGGCACAGTAGGAGTAGGTCCGTAGGCTTCTCCCTATAGTGGTGGCACTGTTATGGTCTTTACCATCCTCCACACAGTGGTCATCTTTAACTGGGATTGGTAAGGGAATCGTCAATAATATTCAATACAAAAAATGCAGAAAAAGAGAGAAAGGGGTACAAATAACAGATCGGACAAATAGAAAATAAATAACAAGATGATAGACTTAAACCTAACCATATCACTAATCACATCAAATATAAGTGTTCTAAAGACCCCAAATAAAAGGCAGTGATTCAGAGGGAATAAAGAATTGAGTCCCAACTATATTATGCTTATAAAACATGCACTTTAAATATAAAGACACACATAGGTTAGATGAAAAAGGATATACCATGTAATATTAATCAAAGGAAAGCTGGAGTGATTCTATTAATAGTGCATAAAGTAAGTTTTGTAGCAAAAATATTGTGCAGGGGCTGGGGGGATTTCATCATGACAGATGCATCCATTTGTCAGGAAGACGTAACCAACATAAATACTTGTGTATCTAATAACAAACCTTCAAAATATACAAAGCAAAAACTAATAGAACTGTAGGGAGAAATAGATAAAGCCACAATTATAGGCAGAGATTTTAATTTTAAGGTCTCAAACCAATGACTTCCATTTTCACCTTAAGGAACTAAAAAAGAAGAGCAAATTAAACCCACAGAAAACAGAAGAAAGGAGACAATGAAGATCAGGGTGAAAATCTATGACCAAGAAAATATAGACAAACAACAGAGAAACTCCACAAAAGCTGATTTTTTAAGATAAAAAAGTGATAATCCTCTAGGCCGATGATCAGGCAAAAAGAAGAAGACACAAATGACCAGTATCAACAATGGAAGAAGCGACATCACTACAGTTTCCACAGAAATAAAAGGGGAAAAAGGTTTCTCTTCAGATCGTATGGATCTTTCACCTTTCACTGAAAGGAGGAAAAGAAATACTATGACTATGTTTATGCTGATAAATTTAATAAACTAGATGAAATGGACAAATTCCTTTAAAGATACAAACTACCAAATGGCACTCGAGTAAACAATCACCTAAATTACATTATATCTGTGAAAGACATTACAAAGAAAGCTCCAGATCCAGACAGCCTCACTGAGGAATTCTACCAAGCAGCTAAAAAGGAAATAGTACTAATTGTACACAACTCTTCCAGGAAATTGAAATTGAAGAAGACAATACTTCCCAAATCCATTCTTCTGCTCCCCAGAAGAGTCTGTTAAAAGAATGAAAGGCTTCTATATCACACTTGTTTCTGCGATAAAATGAAAAGAAATTCAGTTTTAAACTAAACCTGAAAATGGAGAACCAGCAAATACCCAGCTGCATACAACTTTTAAAAAAAAATTTTAAAGCTTTTTAAAAATATATATATATATTTTATTGATTTTTTACAAAGAGAAAGGGAGTGGAATAGAGAGTTAGAAACATCGATGAGAGAGAAGCATCGATCAGCTGCCTCCTGCACACTCCCTACTGGGGATGTGCCTGCAACCAAGGTACATGCCCTTGACCGGAATCAAACCTGGGACCCTTGAGTCTGCAGGTCGACGCTCTATCCACTGAGCCAAACTGGTTAGGGCTGCATACAACTTTAATAAATGTGCCTAACTCTATGTTCTGTCCACCTGGAAACATGAATAAAATAAAACTGAGGTTAACAAATGTTTTATCAATATTTACAACACAATTTTAAGTAATCATTGTAAGTACTAGATCTTCTTGCAACAGCAAATTCTGTATAATAAAAGCCTAATATGGAAGAAGAAGAAGAAGAAGAAGAAGAAGAAGAAGAAGAAGAAGAGGAGGAGGGAGGGAGGAGGGGGAGGGAGAGGGGGAGGGGGAGGGGAAGGGGAGGGGGAGGGGAGGAGGAGGGGAGGGGAGGGGGAGGGGGAGGGGAGGGGAGGGGGAGGGGGAGGGGGAAGGGAGGGGGAGGGGGAGGGGGCGGGAAAGAAGGGGCTGCTCAGCTGACATGGCTCAGTGGTTGAGCGTCAACCTATGAACCAGGAGGTTTTGGTTCAGTTCCTAGTCAAGGCACATGCCTGGGTTGTGTACTCATCCCCAGTAGGGGGCGTGCAGGAGGCAGCCAATCAATGATTCTCTCTGATCATTGATACTTCTATCTCTCTCTCCTCCTTTCCTCTCTGAAATCAATAAAAAAAAAATTTAAAAAAGAATGAAAAGACAAGCCACATTTTGGGAGGAAATATTTGCAAAGCATATATCTGATAAAAGATTTCAATCCAGAGTGTATAAAGAACTCTTAAAAATAACAAGAAAACAAGCAATCCAATACAAAAGTGGGAGAACTATTTAAATGAACACTTCACCAAAGAAGAGATATGGATAGCAAATAAGTGGATGAAAACATACTCAACATCCTTAGTCATTACAAAAATGCAAATTAAAACCACAATGAGATACTATGGCATACCTAAGAGAATGGCTGAAGTTAAAAAGATTGACCATAGCAAATGAGGTCAAAGACGTGGAGGAGCTACTGATGGGATGTAGAATGGTACATCCACTTTGGAAACCTGTTTGTCAGTTTCTAAAAAGTTAAACATTCATCTGCCATGTGAGCTACATGTTCCACTCTGAGGTAAAGCATATGTCCACACAAAGATTTGGTTATGAATGTTCTTAGCATCTTATTTGTAATAGCCTCAAACCAGAAATGACCCAAATGTTCATCAGCAGGTAAATGGATAATTCAGTTGTGGTACATCCATACAGTGGAGTACTATTCAGCAACAAAAGGGAGTCAGCTATTGATACTCATCAGTGGTGTATCTCAAAGTAGTTATGCTGAGTGGAAGAAGTCAGGGAAAAAAAAGTGTGTTCTGTATGATCTTGTTTATATAAATTTATAGAAAATGCAAACTAATTTGTAGTGCCAGATCAGTGGTTGGTGGGGATGGCAGGAGGGACAGGGAAAACTTTTTGAGGTGGTGGATATGTTCACTATCTTTAGGAGCTGATTTCATGGGTATATGATATGTCAAAAATCATCAACTTGCATACTTCAAATACATGCAGTTGATTATGTGTCAGTTATAACTCATGAAGTTGTTTTTAAAAAGAGAAAATATATATGATTGAAAGCACACTGTGTACACAATTCTGTCTTCTACATTGTCCCCAGTAGAAGCATAGAATGAGTTATTTAATGACTAAATAACATTCCACACATGGATGCTTTGCAATTTATTCAATCTCTTCTTTGTCAGGCATTTGGATGCTGTGTCTATTTTTCACTCATCCAAATGACACTATGATAAACATGTTATTACATCAATTTTTATACATTTTTTAAGATTATTAGTGAAAACCAGATTGCCTGAAGTGGAATTATTGGAGCAAAGGTCTAAAATGAGGTATTTCATGGTCCATGTAGGTTCGGGGTTTGGAGCTGCCACCAAAGCGATGTGCATCGGCATGCGGTACTGGAAGCCTGAGCGGCTGGAGACCCTGATCGAAGTCAGCATCGAGTGCGGCAGGATGACGCACAACCACCCCACAGGTACCACTGGCGTCAGCACAGGCGCCTGCTGTGCCATTCTCAGTCCGGTGGATTAGACTGGAATCTTATGTGGTCACATCCACTATTTGGTTTGCTGTTTGTTGACAGACTTGGGTTTGTACATCTACAGTTCTGCTTAAATTCTGTTTTCAACCTAAAAGAGCTGAAACCTGAGATCTGGGTGGACACCATGAGAGCTAGCGTTTGTGTTATGCTGTCAAGACAGAAGCCAGCCCAGAGAGCCGGCGTCCTTGGCTGCCACGACCTGCCCCTGGTCCAAGGCGCACTGGCTATGTGAGCTGCACTGAGTCACTTAATGACCTGCGCCTCTGTGTCCTCACCCGCAACAGGGATGATTATGGTGATAGGAGGGTTATTATTCTACTCACTTCATCCCCCACGCACCCTCACGGCACGGTGTGCACAGCGGGGCCAGCTGCGTGCTGGGATCCCCACCACATGTCCATCACACAGAGGGAGGGCAGGTGGGGCAGCCCCAGAGCCTGACTGAGATGTGACTTAGAAAGCAATCAGCTCCTGATGTTAAAAAAAAGAATGACTTGAGACTCTTGTACCTGTGACCAGCCCTTAATCATGGCAATGCAGGGGGTGTGCCCCAGCCCCACCCAGAAGTCCTGAGGCTGCCAGCTGCTCTCTGGTGACTGTTGTCCTTTCGCAAGGTCACCTTCAGGGGTGATCCCATGTCTTTCTGGAAAGTACTCTTTTGTGGGTGTGAACTGCAGTGGGCAATGTAACCCCTGTTAAGTGGATGTGGCAAAACATGCCAATGAGTTCAGCAAAGACAGTGACAGGCTAAGCCATAACTTCTACAGATAAGTTTCTTAGATCTTTAAAGTTTACACGGAAAGGCATATAATTCAGCCAGTTGGCAACATCTGGAATGATTGAAGAGGCAGGAAGGACTCCCCTGGAGCCCTGGGAGGGAGCACAGCCCCAGACACCCCGGTTTCAGATTCTGGCCCCAGACGGGGAGAGCACAGGTTCCTGTTTGTTTAGGCCAGTCTGGAGTCATGGGAGCAGCAGCCCCAGGAAATAGACCCCTCCATTTGGGGCTTTGACCAGTTCTGGGGACAGCAGAGCCCTGTGCCCCGGCAGGGGAGACCCCCTAGACCTCTCGCTGCAGGGCTCACAGGGAGATTCCTCCCTGTGTCTGTGCCTCAGCCCTGTCTCCCACTCCCCTAGGGGCTCCTCGGCAGTGACAGTGCAGTGGGCACAGCGGGCACAGCGGGCAGGCTGCTTGGTGGGAAGTGCAGGCTACGTGGCTCAGGGACTCCTCGCTGCCCTGCTGAGTCCCCAGCTGCAGGATGAGGCAGGGTACTTCCCAGCCCCACCCTTACCTCCCAGGCCTTCCCCCTAAGGAGTCCAGCCTGGGCCTCTGCTTCTTGGAGCACCTGGGTTGCAGGAGCCAGCAACTGGGTTGTCGTGCCCATATTCTAGATGGCAAAACTGAGGCCCCTACCCCCAGCCCACCTCCCCCTCAAGTCAGTCCTACTCACAGGTGGCTCCCCCAGCGGCCCCTTGATTGCCATGGTGTCAGACGAGGAGGAAGAGGAGGAGGAGGAGGAGGAGGAAATTTCTGAGAAGCAACCCCAAAATACACACCAGCTGGCCCCCCCTTCTTCACTCCCTCTCTGCAGCTTCAAAGCCTCCTTTTGTGCAGGTGGATGAGGGCCTCTTCCTAGCCAGGCAGCCGGGAGCAAAGGAGGTCAAGGAGACAGAGGGTCCAGGTAGTGGGTTCTGGGGCCCCAACCTCACCCAGCAGATTTCCTGACCTGAGCTCCTTCGCTCTCCCACAGTTCCCAGACCAGGCAGGCTGTTTCCTGCCTCCCTGCCTTCGCACATGCAGTTCCCTCCACTGGGATGCCCTTCCTCGTCCTTCAAATCCCAGCTCGGCTTTAACTCCACTGGAGCACCTTCCCTGAGTTGCTTGGGCTCCCCCTGCATCCTGCGCCCACCCCAGTCACAGCCGTTTTCTGGCTGATGCTCTCACAGGGCGGTGAGGTCTCGGGATGCGAGCTGAGCCTTTGTAGCCCAGCCCCTGGCACAGACAGGTGCTCAGTAAATCCGGACGGAAGGGAAGGAGGGCGGGAGGGAAGGGAGCAAAGAAACACCTCTCATAGGACTGGAGAGGATCCGGACCATGAGCACCTGGCCCGGGGCTGGGCACGGAGCAAAGCCCACTCCCTTCCTGCCGCCTCCCCTTGAGCCTGGGCTCCAGCACCTTCTGCCTCCTCCGATTTGGAGCCGGCTCAGGGGCAGTCTCCATACCCACAGGCCTGTGTCTGTTGCCCATTTGGATGCCAGGTAATTACACCAGGATGCAGACGTGCACTTGACTTCACAAGGAGCTAGTGTGTTTGGGAGAAAGGCCTTCATTCTCAGAAATCCCCAAACTTCAAGGGCCTGAGGGCTGACCTTGAGCAGGGGTTTTCACACTGAATATTTTCTGCAAACAAAGCCTTACCTGAGGCCATTATATAAAACAGATGGAAACTAAGCTGCTTGGAAGGTTCCTGGGAGACAGACCAGAGTCCCCTTTCCCCTGTAGCTCTGGGTCCAGGGAGATGGGGGTTGGGGTTGGTCCTGGCGGTGAGAAGGGGCAGATGGGAGAGGGGAGAGCCCTGGGGAGTCAGTGGCTGATATTTACTAACTGGTACAGATGGGCTCAATATTTTCAGAACCGCATGTTCATGCCAGTGTGGCTGGGCCAACGAACTCATCTTTCACAGCAAAAGTCAGTCTATACAAACAAAAAGGGAAATATGTCCTTGGAAAAAATCATAATGACTTCAACCTCTAATGTTCTCATAGTTCCTTTTTTTTCTTTTTTTTTTTTTCTTTTTAATCTTGAAGGAATATTTTAGGGGAAGTGTCTCTTGTCTAGAGAAAAGATTTATATTAATTCAACAATTCCATCAACTTCTCTTTCTTTTTGTTTTGTGAAATTCAAGTAAAATTAAATTTAAAATTGTATCCAAAAAAAAGGGTCTGGGTTGAGAATTTAAACACCTAAAACATTGGCTAATATATTACCCAATCTTATTAAAGAAACGTTGTTTTCCATGTTTAATAGCTAAGTCATTTATGTATTTCTAGAATGATGACTGAAAATGTTTTAAAGGGTTGATTGTACTCAATTAACGCTAAGATGTGCATTCTCCTTTTCAATTGAGTCCACTCTCCTTTATAATTTTTTTTGTGTTAATCCTTACCAGAGGATATTTTTTTCATTGGGTTTTTTTTGTTGGTTTTTTTTTTTTTTTTTAGAGAGAGTGGGAGAGAGGGGGAGAGACAGAGAGAGGAACATCGATGTGAGAAACATCTATTGGTTGCCTCCTGAACTCACCCCAGGCCCTGACCGGGGTGGGGATCAAGCCTGCAACCAAGGTACATGCCCTTGACCGGAATCGAACCCAGGACCTTTCAGTCCTTGAGCCAATGCTCTAACACTTAGCCTAACCAGCTAGGGCTCCTTTTCCATTTTTGAACCACCTTTGACTGCAAGTGTCAGAATTTTTATTACAGTGTGCATTTCCCAGACTCGAGCTGAAACACTCCATGAGAGGAGGGGGCGTGATGGCAGGTGGACAGGACAGTGATTGAACCCTGGGCTTGAGAACGAGATGCTTGTCCCCTGCCCTTGAAATGACCCCTAACTGATGCCTCAAGGAGTGGCCAAAGAGTGTCTCAGCAAGATGGCAGTGCCTGCCCTGGCCGGGTTGCTCAGTGGATAGAGCATCGGCCTGCAGACTGAAGGATCCTGGGTTCGATTCCAGTCAAGGGCATATGCCCAGGTTGTGGGGTCGATCCCCAGTGGGGGGCGTGCAGGAGGCAGCCTATCAGTGATTCTCTCTCATCATTGATGTTTCTCTCTCTCTCTCCCTCTCTGAAATCAATTAAAAAAAAAAAAGATGGCAGTGCCCTTCCTCTGATGGGCACAGTCTTGGTGTGGCCATTACTATGAGCTGGCAAGCACTCATTTGTGATTAGAATCATCTGTCCCCACAAGCCCTTGAAAGATGGGTGCTGTGCCTTTTTGTGCAGAGAGGAAACAAAAGATCAAAAAGCTCAAAATGCATGAAGCAACTGCCCATGGTCCTGCCTCTGTTAACACACATCCAGCAGCCCAGAGCAGGGGTATGGCTCAGGTGCCATTGTTGCTCTCTCCCCTCCGCCCTCCAGGCTTCCTTGGGGCCCTATGTACAGCCCTGTTTGCATCTTACGCCATACAAGGCAAGCCGCTGGAGCAGTGGGGGCGAGACATGATGAAGACACTCCCACTGGCTGAAGAATATTGTAAGAAGACCATCCGGCACCTGGCAGGTGAGCCTGGCCTCCTTTCCTGCCACTCATAGGAAAGGAGGCTGTTAGAGCTTGGTCTCAGGTCACATTCAGTGCAAATTTGCACAGACCTGGCTCCCAAGGAGGTCAAGGTCCATTTGCCCCACCAAGAGCATCTCTGTAGGGTCCATGTGAGCAGGTGGATCCCACAAAGAAGCCCAGGGAGATCCACAGAGGTACCAGGAAGAACGGGGTGCATTACAGCAGATCCTTGAAGTATGTGTTTCATTCAATGTCATTTTGTTAAATCATTGATGAGGAACTTGAGTCTTGTTTATATCCCTTAGCCTATGGTAAAATTGGTTTCCTTATACATCATTTCTCTTAAAGTCACAGAAGCATTTGAAGATGTTAAGTGAGAATTTACTGTACTTAGATTTAATTTTCCAAATTATCCTTAAGTAGCCCATGTCTCAGAGAGGAATGAGAGATGCTAGCTGACACTGCTCCAAGGACCTAACGGACAGCTGTGCCTAACCCAGGGGATTTAAAGTCTCTCACATGAAGGCCAGACAGAGGTCTGTGCCCACTGATGACATGAAGTCCCAGGAAGCTCCATCTGTCCCAGTTGAGTCATTAAATGCTTCACTCTTTTTGGCCACGAGTACGGTCAACCCAGCCAAATGCAGCCAGCCCAGCAAAGGTCCTAGGGGATCACGGTGCTGCTGGCGTTTTGGCCTCTGAGCTCCTCTCGGCTTGCTCCCCTTTCCCCGTGGGATCCGAGGGAGAGCGGGCACAGGACCAGGCAACCCCTGGCTTTCTCCTCGGGCGGCTGAGCCACAGAGGGTCATGGGCTGCATGAGGAGCACAGACAGCTTCATGTGGCCTTTGACACTCTAAACTGTGGAAGAAAATTTCCAGAATAAAGTATCCAATTTGTCCTGGAGGAGAGGGAGTTGAAGGATTTGAATGTAGGCGCAGGATGCTTGATTTTTCAGAACAGCCTGAGGCTGAAGCCCTGAAACACAGAACCAACAAATCACTTTTCTGCCACCCTCCAAGCCCCAGGGGCTATATTCTAGAAGGCCGAGTGGGAACTTTAGAACAACTTTTCAAGGAGACTTTTGCACTTATCCCTGCCTGGACCCAATGCTGGGAAACACTTCTTCACAAGGTCCCTGTTCCAGTGAGAAATAAGAAGCCTCCATGTTCACAGCAAAGTGTCCCTAAGCAGTCACCCTCTACAGGCTTAATTATAGAACACAGGTGGCAGCCCTGCACTGTTTTTTTCATCTGGTCTAAGTCATTGTTATCCCTGGCTTCTGATCACTGGGTTAGTCATCCCCCCGCCCCCCCTTCCCCCAAGTAGGTTCACCTTAAACCATCTGAAAGAAGTAAATAACATGAGTGTATTAAACTACACAGTCACTGCATTATTCACATTATACTAATCAACAGTTCCCCAGAACTCTAGTATCAAAATGGTTTTCCCCAGTGTTTTCTGAAGAACAAATAGTCAAAGATCTTCCATGAACAGAAACGAGAAGAGTCATTGGTCAGATAATTTTGAGATTTTATTCTTTCTGTTTAATTTTAAATTTGTTTAACTCAGAGCTTTATGAACCTCTATGGCAGAACCCTTTTTTAATTTTAATTTTTTATTTGTCAATCACAGTTAACAGTCAGTATTATTTTATACTAGAGACCTGGTGCATGAAATTTGTGCACTGGGGGGGGGGGTGTCCTTCGATCCAGCCTGCACCCTCTTGCAGTCCGGGAGCCCCATGATTGATCGCCCCGCAGAGAGAGGCCCCACCCACCACCACTGGCCAGGTAGCCAGGCCTTCCTCTGTGAGGTGATCGTGGGGCGATGGCGGGGCCCCCCAACCAATTGCATTGCACCCGCCTTGGCAGTGGCAGTCAGTGCTAGGTCACTGCGGTGCCAGCCGGGGGTGACCGGGACCCAGGACTGACTTCTGCCATGCCCACGGCGGCAGCAGTCAGTGCTGGGTTTTTGGGGCACCCTCGACCCAGGAGGGACCGAGAGGTCAGCAGTTTAGCCCACTCACCAGTCCCCACCCACCTGAGCCTGCTGCACGTGTGGTCTGGCATTTGGTCGTCCATTCGGTCGTTTTGGACGTTACGAACCCTGGTTCTTTATATATTAGGATTAGTTTCAGGTGTACCAGCATAGTGGTTAGCTTCCCCCCATAAATCTGGTACCCACCTGGCCCCATACATAATTATGACAATATTATTGACCATATTCTCTATGTTGTACTTTACATCCTCATGACTATTTTGTAACGGCCCCTTTGTACTTCTTTTTTTCCCCTCCATTCGTACTTCTTAACCCCTTTTTAACAAAATACCTAAAATCATCCAGAAAAATAATGTTCTATAGAGCACCCCCAGAAAATATTCTTCTGGGGTCTCTGCCAAGTCTAGGACAACATCCATCAGCAGCAAGGACAGCTAGCAAGTTAGTTCCATGCTTTTGTGTTTGAAGATCTGCTTCCAAAGGTGACTGGCCATTTGCTTGGGAAGGAGGCTCTGTCTGAGCTTGTGCCCACACCAGCATGAGCTCTCTGCTAGAAACACGGGTCTCTGCAGGGCTAATGGGATTTGTGGATTCTGGTCCCTGCCCTGTTGCTTCTGCCTCTCACTTTTCATCTTATTTCACTGAAATAGACCTTAAATGGGCCTCACCTTTAGTTTTGTAAAACAGGGTCATGCCACTGTTTCCAAGAGACTGGCATTCCCGCGGCAACCTGGAATGTCATCCCACGACCCACCCCAGGCACCTCCTGCTGTCCCCGTGGTTAGAAGGGCAGAGGAACACTGCTTTCCCCTGCAGCCCGTGACCACCTAGCCCCTCTCTGGTCCCCGCTCTCTTCCCCAGCTCCCCAACCATAAGCAGACACGGCAGCATCTGTTTTCCTCTTGCGTCGGTTGAGTCCCTCGGGCCTCACTGGCCACTTAACCACTCTACGCAGTTGGCATCCTGGGCGATCCATGGAGCCAGGGTCCTGCCTGCTCTCAAAGAGGACAAGGTCAAGTGTGTTAACCCAGCACACTTTGTGGAGGGACAGTGAAGCCCTCGTGACTTCCAAGGAGCTCTGAGACTCAGAGAGCCATCTCCTATCCACCACCAGAAAGTGTAGCTGCTGCTCCAGCTCATTTTTGAGTCAATGTCCTCTTCACCCAGAAAACTTGCTTCACCCCCTCCAGGGTTTAGATGTCGAGCTGGTCATTAGGATAGTAAAGCATCCTCTCTCCCTACCTTGCAGGCAGTGTTGAATTAATAAAAATACCCAGGTTCAGAATTTTCAAAGAATGCACTTAAAAATGTTGCAGTCACTGTCTAGTTTCAGAAGAGAGTTAAGCAATTCTTTGAATGGCTTTTGTCCCCCATCACCATCTTCCTTGCTTTTGTTCCAGAGTAGCTACAAATACGAGCATGTTTGAATGTCTAGAGCCATCACGAAGGCCAGATGCCAGGTCTCCTCCCGTCCGATAAAGAGTATTGCCCTGTGTCTTCTGTCCCCTCCCGCTCACTGCCCACAACGTTCTGAGCCCAGCCCCTCTGCCCCAGGCCCCACTCACCCTCCTGCGGCCCCCACACCCCGGCTGATGGCCATGGCATCCTGCCACCCTGTTCTCTGCATTTAGAGTACCAGGAGCACTGGTTTTACTTTGAAGCTAAATGGCAGTTTTACTTGGAAGAGAGAAAGCTCAGTGAAGATACCGAAAGTAAAGCCGCCTTCCCTGACCATTACGATGCAGAAGAGAGGGACAAGGTAAGCCTTGCTGTGTCTGAGATGGCAGCCGGGGACCTGGAGCTTTCAGGGTACCACTGCCCACGGGGTCCACCTCACCAGGGCTGTTACTGCCATCTTAGCCCCAAGCAGTACAGACGGGCTGAGGGAACAGCTGCATGTGGGAGGGGTCGTGGAAGATCTCGTTGCCCCTTTGCCCTACTCAGACCGAATGTCACCAGCAAGTGGTTTCCTGCGTGTGGTGTCTAATGCCTGTCACAGCACCTCAGCCCCTTTGCCCAGCTCTATTTGTCCTCGTGGGGTTCAGGGCTGCCTGACACGCTGTTGGTGCTTGTTTATCTGTGAATGTCCGTCTCAGAATGGCTGCCATGTAGGAGCCATGAGGAGTGAGCCTTTCCTGCTCGCTGCCCCTCCCCAACCCCGGGCAGTGCCTGGCACAGGGTGGTACTCCATCAGTGCTCCGTGGGTACCATGAACAGCCACTGGACGGACCTGGGGAGCTCAGGTTCTGACACGGTTCCGCTTTTGGTCCATGCCTCTGACCCCTGGCTCTCTCTTCAGACCTACAAGAAATGGAGCTCAGAAGGCCGAGGGGGGCGACGGGGCCATGATGCCCCCATGATTGCCTACGACGCTCTCTTAGGAGCCGGGAACAACTGGACAGAGCTCTGCCACCGGGCCATGTTTCACGGAGGTGAGATTCCCTTCTTCAATGGCCTTGAACTTCCAAGAGGCCAGCACCCCATCCCTATCCCTGTGCATTCTGTCAGGATGTCTGACGTTTCAGGCGTGAGGGAGCCCCAGACCATGGGCTCTTCTCTGGGCAGGGCCCTGGCTCCAGCTACTCGTGCACAGACATCACAGGCTGCAGGCAGGTTGCCGCGCTGCCTTGGGTGGCCCTGAGGCTCTGAGCTTGGAGAGATGTAGTGTTCAGGTTGCTGGAGTGCAGGCTCCTCTCCCTCGTGGCTGCTGGTTGAAGAGCACGCGGGTTCCACTGGTGCTGGCTGTGCAGCGTTCTGACCTCTGCCATCACCATCATCGTGTCCCTCACCTCTGCAGACTGCAATCACAGAGAGGTTGCACTTTAGAATCAGGCAGCCCTGGGTTCAAGTGCAGTTCCAGGCTAGTCTCTCTGTGAGGTGAGAGGATCAAACCCAACTCAGAGGGCTATGAGGCAGTTGGGTACATGGTGCCAGGAGTTCCCCACTGCACCACTGAGCAGCAGTGATCGTTGCTGCAGGGCTGGGAGCCTTGCCTCACTCCCTGTACCATTGTCTCCTGTGAGTGTAAAGAGGATTCCTGTATATGTTACCTCTGGGTGGGCATGGATTCCATCACTATTAGAGTGACTGTTGTCAGAGCAGAGTGCTGCTCCTGGTACTGAGATGACTGAGAAGTTTGCACTTCCTGGAGGCCAGCAGGGGGCTTCTTTGAGAGCCTGGGGGCTCCACTGAGGGAGGAGGAGCCCAGGAGAGAGTGATGGGAGCCAAGGGCAGCAGTGTGGCCATGAACGTGGGAGAAGGGACTTTCCAAGGGGCGCAGTGACCCACACAATCCAGGACCCCTAGCTGAGAGCAGGGTTGGGGGGCATACAGGAGTCTTCGTGAGGTGCAGACTGCTTGTGAGGGAGCCCGCGTAGACTCTGGCCACCCGCAGAGCCTGGAGGGGAGGACTTCCGGGGCACCCTGCACCCATGATAACAAAGGCATCTGCACACCTTGTGTGTTGTCAGGGTGTTTGTATTGAGGACAGCAAAAGCCACCAGGGCCCATCGGCAAAACTGGGGTTTGGCACGAGGGAGGGGGAGGAGGCTGAGAAAGCCCTGGTGCTTACTGCTATAGAGACACCAGCCCAGGAGCATCTCTGAGACAGGCCTTTGCAAAGAGGCCCTGGTTAGTGCAGTGATGGCGAACCTGTGACACGCGTGTCAGAGGTGCCACACGAACCCATTTTTTTGGTTGATTTTTCTTTGTTAAATGTCATTTAAATATATAAAATAAATATCAAAAATATAAGTCTTTGTTTTACTATGGTTGCAAATATCAAAAAGTTTCTATATGTGACACGGCACCAGAGTTAAGTTAGGGTTTTTCAAAATGCTGACACGCCGAGCTCAAAAGGTTCGCCATCACTGGGTTAGTGCCAAGTTCACAGTGATGTGCCCCTTCCCACTCTGCCCTTGGAATCCTGAGGACCTGTGTTTCCGTTCCAGGTGAGAGTGGGGCCACGGGGGCCATCGCGGGCTGCCTGTTCGGACTGCTCCACGGCCTGGGCGCTGTTCCCGAAGGCCTGCACCAGGAGCTGGAGCACAGGGCGGAGCTGCTGCACCTGGGAGAGGCTCTCCACCGCCTGTCCACGGAGGAGAAGTAAAGCCACCTCCCCTGCCAGGGAGCCCTCCCAGCCCCGGGGCCCCAGGGGAGTCCACGCGCAGCTCCCCGACTCTCCGAGCACTGAGAGCTCATGCCCAACTGACCGTGCTTATAAAATACATTATTTGTCCTACAAGAGTATTGTTCCTATCCTGGCCCAAATCCAGTGCATGATGGAGGTCACCCTGGATTTGCTACCCTAAACCTCCACATACAGTGGTCGCAAGTAGTCTCTTGGACAACTGGTGTATTTTATTCTGTTGCATAGCTAATGCTTTTCGCTCACTCATTTCAACTAACCACAAGGGCTCCGCTCAGAAGGGCCTCCTCCATCTGCAGAACCTTCCGCCACTGTCTGTTTCTAGCTCTTAGACACGCACTTCAGCCACTGCCCATCTGCTCCCCCGCCCCAGCCCCCAGCCAAGCCGTCCCTCCCAGGCGCCTGCTGCCCTTGCGTTCTCACGGCCATGTTTCCCCAGCAGAGCAGTCAGTAAGCGTGCCTTCAGGATGCAGCCAGAAGCACTGCGTTTAACCCTCCAGCCTAAGTTTTTAATCACACTAGATCTTTAAAGCCAACCTTTTGGAACAACTAAGTGAGGAAACCAGGCCACACAGTTCTCACGCCGGCACCCACCTCTTTCTTCCCTGGGTCTGCAGCTGTCATGCGCGCGTGGGTGCGGCCCAGGCTGCAGAGAGGGCCTGTGGCCGGCTCCACCCGGATTTGCTGAAGGAGACAGAGCTGCTCCCTGTGGCCCATGTTTCTCTCTCTGAGAATCTTGAAAAGGAGATAACGTGCTCTTGTTAAAAATAACCGTGGACACTATCTTTTTGAAGTAGTATCTGGTGTGAATAAAACAGCAGTTGGTGACTGACGTTTAACATGGCGCTTTGGCGGCTTAGCTGGGCTCTATCTTGTTGATGGTGACATCTTTTCATTGAAAGTTTGCCTCTGAGCACAGCCAGGCGAGGCGCCCAGAACCCCCGGGATCCCGGTATTCGGGGATGCTTGCTCGCAGACACTCAGAGGACACTCAGATGTTGAGGTTTCCTGAGACCACCTCGTCTCCCCCAGGCACCCTGCCTCCCCTTCCTGGGCACCCTGGTGTCCTGGGCTGTGGAACAGGACAGGACAGTTTCAATAGAATACATCTCTGTCCATTTCTTAGGGAAGTGTGAAGGCCTCCCTCCAGGTTGATGAAAGAACCAGTGGGCCATTGTCTACTAGGCATATTGCACCAAAGTGTTTTCCACATCAGGTTTCTGAATAACGGAACTAACGTTTGCTGCTACTGATGCTTTTCAATCAAGAGAGGCAGCAAGACAGACAGAGTGGGTGAGGGGTTCTCCCATCACTCCAGGGTCCAAGCCAGGGTTAGTGGGTGTGCAGAAATTAACCGAGAGTTATCTTCCAGGAAAAGAAACCCAAGTAAGGTAAGTTGGCACTTTTCCTAGAGGTACATAACACAGCGGCTTACTGTTTTAAAGGGATATCTGTGTTTACCAGCTTACCTTAAAAGTGGCCCTTCGACTCTGCTGTGCAAAAGAGAAGTAGATCTCAAGCGAGTTGAGTGCAAATGGTTTAGAAGGAAGTCACTCGGTCTGAACCTTATTGACGATTTAGGAGAATTCAAACCACCCTTAAGAGTCAGGGAGTGGCCCTGGCCAGTTTGCTCAGTGATTAGAACATTGGCCTGTGGACGGAAGGGTCATGGGTTTGATTCCTGTCAAGGGAACGTACCTGGGTTGTGGGTTCACTCTCTGCCCCTGATGGGGGCCCCTAGGGAAGGCAACCAGTTGATGTGTCTCTCTCACATCAATGTTTCTCTTTCTCTCTCTCTCTCTCTCTCTCTCTCTCTCTCTCTCTCTCTCTCTTTCTCTCTCTCTCTCCCCTTCCTCGTCCCTCCTTTTCACTTTGAAAATTAATGGGAAAAATATCCTTGGGTGAGGATTTTTTAAAAATATAAGAATCAGGGAATGAGTCTATTTACAGATTAATTATAAATTAAAACATATAAAGAAAAATTTATAAGCATCACAAATTAGTGAAACTGCTTCCCCATTTCATTGTCCTATTACAGGGAAATGCAAAAGTTGAAAAGAAAAACAAAACTATCAAAAGTAATGAATACTGCACCTACTTGAACTTTTAGAAATGTAACGCTTGCTGATTGCATTTTTATTATAAAAGTGGTACATGGGCGCAGCTTCAGAAATTCAAATGTCATTATTAAATGTGCGTGTGGAAAGTAAGATTCTTCCAAACCTCAGCCAGACTCACATCACCAGGCCCCAGAGAAAGCCGTAGGTTGTGATGCCTGTGTCTCCTTCCAGAAACCTCCTCTACACAGACAACCAGGGGTTTGTGTGTGTTGCACACTTGCATCTGTGTGTTGTGCGCGTGCGCACACACACGCACACATACACACACACATATACATGATTACTCTCCACAAATAAGTTTATAGTATTCATAATGGTTTCCTTTGGATTTATTCACTTAATGGGTTTTTAAATATTTTTCAGTATCATCATATATATATGCACATTTATATCTACATGTTGCTTTTTATTCCATTTACAAAGGGACCATATTGATGTCATCCTTAAGTTGTTTTCGTTTTCCAAGTGGCATTTTAAAACACTGCTTCTTATGTTTACTTCAAAATGTTGCTTCCCCATCTCGTCTGGAAAGAAATTAAACATTAATTAATAGCACGGTGATTTCTTAATTCCAGAATGCATTTGTTTTTGCATTTAACATTTCTAAAATTGAGATGCAGTGTATATTTCATTGTGCCTGATCACTTAATTGGCAGAGTTTATTTTTCTTTTCCTGAGATTTACAAAGTAACAGCTCCTCTTACAATCAATAGCATGTTCTATCCAAGAATGCTAATGCTAAACACCACCCGAGTGTAGACATCAGATGAGGGGGTGTTATTACCTCTTATTCCCAGGTGACAAGAAAGGATGACTCAGTGGCAGGTGTGTGTTGTGAGATGTGACTGACCACACGCTGTCTTCCTCCGACCCCTATAGCCCACACCCCTTTATTCATGGCCCCATGGCTGACGCAGCACCTGGAAGGTGAGGTCTGAGCCGGGGACTCTCGGTGGACTGGGGCCATGGCTAGGAAATGTCGTGGCCGTCAGGAAGGGTTTGCCCTCTGGCGGCCCCTGTGTCCCACGGACAGGCACACGGTTCCTGTGGCTCCAATATTGGAGCAGGTTCTCTGTGGTGCTCACAAGTTTTCCGACTTCAGGCTGATTTCGATGAATTCATGTCCCCAAACTCTTTGGTTTTGCATTTATATTCCATGGGGTTGGGGCCGGTAGTGAACAGAGAGTGGAAATGTAAATCCAGCCTGTCTGACAACCCAACTCCTACCTCTCAATCTCCAGCTGGCCACCCTAGTTCAGCGAGACTTGACCACAGTCCTGAGTCCCCGAGGGGGACCCTCAGTGAGTTAAGAAACCCCAGCACCCCTAGCAGACAGAACGGGAAAAATCGATCAGATGTCAACTGACAGAACTGCCCGAATTAATGTCCCCTCCAAACATCTGGGTTTTACACACTTCATCCCAAAGCCCCTTTAAGTGGGAGTAACTTTTAAGTGGCAGTGCAGGCACTGTGACCACGTGGGTGAAAAAATCTTCACGTGTTGACTTATTTCCAGTTTTCAAGTAGAAATAAAGTGTAAGCTCCCGCAGAGTATCATGGGGGGAATCAACACAGGACGGAAAATGTCAGCCTTGAGCCTCTGGGTGGGTTCCGGGTGCCCGAGCGCTGAACGAGACGGCAAGCCCGCGAATGGGAGCTTCCGCACGTGCAGCGGAAAGGGCAGCGGCTCGGGCACCAAGTGCTTGACCCACTTCATCTGGATGGGCACAGCGGGCGCTGTGATGGTGCCCAAGCTGCAGGCAAAAAGGTGGGCTCACAGCCCATCACACGGCCCACGGGCAGCACTTTGGCCTCAACAGCCACCCAACCACCACCCTCATCACCATGGGGACCTCCCACAGGAGGGTGACGCTGGGAACACGGGCCTTATCTGAGCCCGAAGTTCCCTGGCGTAGACAGCCTCATGTCCCTCACTCCTGAGAAAACCCAGAGTCCTCCTCCTGGCGCCAGGCCTCCGGTGTCTGTGCACTGCCGGGTCCCCAGTGTGACCGCGGACCAGGGCTTATCTGTGCTCTCAGGGTCCTGGAATGCACTTGTCTCCCATGGCTTTGCTCCCTCCTGTCCATCCTAATTGTTTGTTTTTAAGTACTTCACACACAGAAGTTACCAAAACAGCTCAAAGAACTCCCATGTTCCCTTCACCCAGCGTCACCAACTGTTAACACTGGGCTACATTTGCCTTATCATTTTATCTCCCTCTCACTGCACACACAGACACACATAGACACAGGTATACACTTACACACAGACACACAAAGAGAGGTGTACACACACACACAAAGAGAGGTGTATACATACAGATACACACACAAAGGTATATACTTACACAAAGACACACAAAGAGAGGTGTACAGACACACAGAGGTATACACTTACACACAGACACACAAAAAGAGGTGTATATACACAGATACACACACAGGGGTATGCACACATGGATACATACACTGACACACACACAGAGATATATACACCCCCGACACACCACACACACACACACACACACACACACACACACACACACGGCAGTAGTTGTAATTAAGTGTGAGAGGAGTGTTTTAAGAATGCTTGCTCACTTATTAAATCTCAGGGCCTGGAAAAGTATTCAAGACTCAGGGGCCTCAGTCAGCTGGGTTGGACAGGCACCCCTCTGTCCACCACAGCCAGGGCCACGCCTGTGAGATTCAGGTGCATGGCCATGGGGTACCCCAACCCAGAAGGCCACCCACCAATTTGTAACCAGATTTATTTCAAGGAAAATGCAGAGGTTCAGTTCTCTGACTGATTCATTGACACAATTTCAACTGTGAGTTCCT